GGAATCTTATTGAGAAATGTGGGAAAGAAACTACTAAGAATTTAAAAAAGAAATGTCCCCCTAACCAAGGTATTAAACTACATTCATAACCAAGGAATTCTAAATAAAAGTGCAAAGAGATCACATTTGAAACCCCTCAGTTAGGAGTAATATGAAATAGTGGTGATAATATGGAGCTTGATGGAGGAATAAATTGGTAAGACAACCCAGAAACCAATTTGGCAATACCTTTTAAAACTGAAGATAGTCTGATCCATCAATGCTAGTGCTATGTATAAAACCTAGTGAAATTCTCCAAGTATATTTTTAAATTTTTGTTGTGATAGCTAAAAAGGGGAAATAACTTAAAAATCTGTCAATGGGGAAATTGGTAAATAAATTTGTGTACACAGCACAAATAAAATACTAAACATTAAAAATTGATGAACTGGATTTTCATGTATCACAATGGTAATTTTTATAGACATAATGATTAATAAAATGGATGAACAATGAGAATATACTGCCATTTATGTAAAGTTTTAAGCAGGTAAACACAAACCTGCCAATTGTTCAAGGATATATTCTTTTGCAGTAAAATTTAGCACAAGGAAATGCAAATGTAGGATCATGTTTCCCTCTATGGAGGAGAGAGTGGGAGACAACTGGGAAGGCAATATAAAAGGGGCATACCTCAACAGCAGTTTTAGATCTTAATCCAGGCAATATGTATAAAGCATTGGTTGCACTTTTCATTTTACTTTTTTGTGTTAAATACTTGGAATGTATTTTTTATTTAATTATCAGAAGCTCTTATAAAAAATTCCCAGGACTGTCTCAGACTCAGCAGATTAGACTTCTCAGAGGTGGAACCCATGAACCTGTCTTCTGAGTGACCCTGTTATACTGGTCTAAGCCAGGATAAGGCTATTCCAGTGGAGTTTGGCTCCCCCCACAGTCTATTATACTTTTCACTCTACAAGTTGACCAAATGTTAGCTACGATACAAGGTGATGAGGACATAAATGCAAATAAGACAGTTCCACTGGCTTTAAGAGTAACTTCAGTTATAAAAATGTTCAAAAACTTCTCAAACCAAACATTCTTATCTATTGCCTAAATCCTAGTGTTCCCAAATCCTCTTTTCCTGGTGTGCAGAACATCCACTGATCACTGTACCTGACTGGGATTTCCACACACTCCTTTCTGGAGAAATTCCTGGCATGGTCCTCTGCCTTGACACTAGTGGAATCTACTACTTGACTATTTGACACTACTTGACATCTCACAACTTTGCCATTTATTCACTGTTCGGCCTTGGATCAGTAGTGTCATTTCTCTGAGACTCCACTTCTGACCCAAAAGCTGAGTAGATGAAAATTTAGTTTGGGACTAGTTGAATGTATGGAATGGCAAAGCTATGGCCAGAGTTTGAGGCTTTTAGACAGCTATTCTTTTTTGTGACATTTTTTATTTTTATAGTTACACATGGCAGTAGAATCCATTTTGACATAATTATAAAAACATGGAATATATCTTATTCTAATTCAGACTTCATTACCTCTCCTGCCCCTTCCCTCTTCCCACTCCCTGTTCACTTCCATTTGTCGATCTTTCTACCACTTACCCATAGTTATTTTTTAAATTAATTTCTTGTAGATATACATGAAGGTGAAATTCACTGTGGTATATTCATATATGCACATAGGAAAGTTATATCAACTTCATTCTACTATCTTTCCTTTTCCCATGCCTTCTCCCTTCTCTCTTCATTACCCTTTGTCTAATTTGCTGAACTTCTACCCCCCTTATTGTGGGTTAGCTTACACATATCAGAGTAAACATTTGAATTTTTTGCGGGGGGGGTTGGCTTGTTTCACTTAGCATGAGAGTCTTCAGATCCATCCATTTACTGGCAGATGTCATAGAGTCATTCTTCTTTATCACTCAGTAATACTCCACCGTGTGTACGTATCACATTTTCATTATCCATTCATCTGCCGAAGGGCACTAGGCTGATTCCATAGATTAGCTATTGTGAATTGAACTGTTATACCTATTGATGTGGTTGCATCACTGTAGTATGCTGATTAAAACCCTTTGGATATATAACCTGCAGATTGGGGAAACTGGGTCAAATGATGGTTCCATACCTAGTTTTTTGAGGAAACTCCATACTGCTTTCCATAATGGTTATACCAATTTACAGTCCCACCAATGTATGAGTGTACCATTTCCCCCATATCCTTTCTATCAGACATCTATTCTATTTCATTGCCTTTCCTAGGAGCACCAAATATTGATTTGGAAATTTGTATATCAGTGTTGTTTTCTTTTAAATTTTTTTAGTTGACCTTTATTTTATTTATGTATTTATATATGGTGCTGAGAATTGAACCCAGTGCCTGAAACATGCTGGGCAAGTATGCTACTGCTGAGCCCAAGCCCCAGCCCCAGCCCCTGTATGAGTGTTTTGTGAGAAAGATAGATTCTGATGACCTCTTAGATGTTTCTAAGGAATTATATACACATACTTGACCTTCAAAGCACTTCTGAGAAGGTCCTATTCAGTGTCAATTCTACTTGCAGTAAGGTGTGTAAACTTGAATATATCTCTTCAGCCCTTTGAGGCTCATGAGTTAAAAAAGGATAATATCAACATACACCTCACATTGTTCTGGTAAGGAATAATTGAAATCATTGTTACACAGACACTTTAAGAATCTAGTCTAGCCAGGTGTGGTGGCATATGCCTGTAGTCTCAGCTACTCAGAAAGCCGAGGAACATCCCAAGTTCAAGGCCAGCCTGGGCAACATAGGGAGATCCTGTCCCAAAATAAAATTTAAGTAAATGAATGGAACTGGAAAACATCATTCTAAGTGAAGTAAGCCAGACTTAGAGAGTCAAGGGTCAATTTTTTTTCCTCACATGTGGAAGCTAGAGAGAAAAAATAAATTCAAAAAGAGATGAATAGAGGAGAGGAAAAGAATCAAGGAGGAAGGAGAAAGGGAGGGAAAGCAGAAGAACCTGGGAACAAAATCGACCAAATTGTGCTACATACACGTATGAATACATTATGATAAATTCAATTTTTTATGTATGATTATGACACATCAACAACATATACATGTAAATAAATAAAAGGAAGATCAAAACAGTAGAGAAAGTAGGGAGGGAAAGGAGAACCACTGGGGATTAATTGGAGTAAAATTATCTTTTGTGCATATATGAATGTCACAATGCACCACATTATTCTGTATAATTATAATGCACTAATAAAAACACAAGAAATAAAACTTTTAAAAGGGCTGAAGATGTAGCTCAGTGATACAGCACTTGTTCAGCGTGTGCAAGACCCTGTGTTCCATTCTCAGTACAGCTGAAAGAAAGCAAAATGGAAGGAAGGAAGGAAGAGAGGAAGGAAATGAGAAAATCTAGTCTGACCAGGGAAGTCACAACTGGCAGGCCAACAAGTGGACCACTGACAACTACAATGTGAGACTTAAGTAATGTGGGCAGTTCTCTTCCACATCCCTATATAAGTTGGGTTCCCAGACCCGGCTGGATAAGTGGGCCCCAACTGAAGGCTGGAGAGGGGCTGGAGGCCTGCTCATAGGAGGCCAGGATGGAGATGGCAGAGCAGGCAGGAGCACAAAGAACACAGGGTTGGTATGAGGGCTCTTAATGAAGGACAGTCAGTCCCTTCCTCATTTCATTGCTGCCCTGGAACACAACTAATATAGAAGTAGCCTGCTAAGAGCCAGGAAGACAAGGCAGTCCCAAAGGGTGGGGCTTCAAGTCCGGGAAACAGCCTCCCAAGACCGTGGATGTGCAGTGTGCAGACCATGAAAGGCCATGGCAGATCTTCCTATGGGCTGGTCACTGACACTCAGGGCAATGAAGCACATAGACCCATTGTGTACCCTCCATGGCCCCAGCCCTGTGGTCTCTTCCAGTGGGATGGGCATTGCCCAATGCTTTGGTGGGGTGGGGTGATGAGCACACATTAACACACGTGAGCACAGGTTTGTGCACGTGAGCGCATGCATACTTAATGGAATCACACCTGGACCCGGTGCCCTGGCCTGGCCCAGAGACCAGAACAATCCTATCCTGGGTGGGGATGGAAAAAAGGACTGCAGGCAAAGAAGCCCCAGAGGGCCTGCTCCCCACCCCTGGCCAGAACGCAGAGCTGGTGGGCCCACCCCAGGC